TCCTGCTGAGAGAAGAATATTCTTTGTTGGCTTTGCCACAGACATTAGTGATCAGTTTTTATTGCAGATTTTGAAGATATTTCTTGGAATGTTTGACCTTTTTTTTATAAGAAGTATCAAGGCCTGAGAAATTAGAAAAAGACACTACAGAAATTTATTTTAAAGAAGCAAATCTGAGTAAAGTGTGCTGTAGTGCAGGATTCTCTTGGTGTATTCACATCAAGCCAAAAGGCAGCAAGGGTAAATGATTTAGCAGGGCGTCGTGTTGGAGCAGCTCCCGTGGGCCGGGGTTGAAAAGTGCTTTAGCCAGCAGAGGTGCTTGCACAGCACACAGCCTGTGTGCCCTCTCACAGGGAGGTGATCAGGCTTAAAGTAGTCACCACTTTTGGGGAAAATGGAAGACATGCAAACATACCTTGCAAACAGTTAAATAAGCAAAACTGAGAGGCAGTGACTTCCAACACCGTGAGCAAGAGCAAGGGCTTGGGGACAAGGCTGTGCAAGGGGCAGCTCTAGGATGAGCTTTTAGATGACGGATTCGTGATGTTGAGCTACATGCTTAGAAGGTTTAATCTGATCAGTTTATCAAACAAATTTTTGAGAAACTATTTAATTGCATATAAATACATTCTCAGGGAAAATAAACTTGATACCAAGAGGCTTAGTAAAGTTAATATAAAATTGAAAATTAGATGCAAATATTAATAATGTGGATAATTAGTCCTTGCAATAAATCACCAGTTAATGTTTTGACATCTCTTGATATCCTTCTGGAAAATATATATAAACCTAGCAAACTGAAGTTAGTAAGCTGAGTGTCCAAGTACATGGATAAAATGTCGCAGCCTGTGATACCCAAAAGGTCAGAATATGTGATCTAAAGGTCCCTTTTGAATTTAGAGTCTGTAACTCTTCAATGGAGAAAATTTCCATTGCCAAGGGCTGAATCAGCCTTTCAAACACTTTTGGCAAAACCCATCTTAACATGTTTATTATTATGAGTTATTTCTGAGAGATTTTGAAAGGGAGACTCTGTGATCTTGCTTAGCTCACAATACAGGGGAAGCACAAGATGAAGAACTATGAAGAACTGAAAGGTGGTGCTATGTGTAAGGGCATAGAGGTGTATAGATGTGTATTGGTTGCTGCTGGGTAAAAGATTTCTTTTATCTGCAATTAACTCATACTTAATGACTGACTGGGAGACGTGGTGCTTCCCCCTGAAGTGCTATATATTTTACTTGCATGAACCTGGGGAGGAGTGCTATCAGTCAGAAAGCTGCTGCAATGCTGATTTTAATTGTCTGAAAATACTGTTCACTAGTGTATTACTGCTAAATGTTTTGTAAGTAATGTTATTTTTAGTAGGTCATTGAGAAACAGAGTCTGTAGTTTTAATTCTATAAGTTCTCTGCCTCCTTCCAGAATATTTCAATGAATATGTATCATGGAAAAATCTCAGCAATGTCCTTTTAAACATACAGAAATAATCAAACCTTTATATTCAGTGCTATTGGAAAAAAATTCTCTGTTTGAAAAACTAAATCTTATTTTTAAATAAAACAAAGATGTAAGATATAATAAAAGTTATATAACAATGAAAATCTTCTTCTGTAAGTGAACTGCATAATTTCTATTATGAAAAATGGGGGGGTCAATTTATTTATTGACATTAGAATAGTTTTATCAAGCTATATGAGGATAGTATTTCCTGTTACTTAAAGTATTAATGCATCTACAAATGGAGGAAGCAAGAAGTTATGATTCAATGATTCAGTTCTTACTAAACTATTAGCATGTTTAGAATAACATTATTTGAGACATTCTTAAAGAATCTTAAAAAGCTTGCTTAACAACTACAACAGTCTTTGTACATAAATAGATTTGTAACACAGAAATACCTGAAACTAAGAAAATAGATGTTCTGTGTTTTTTTATTTGTTTTTTTTTTTGTTGTTGTTGTTGTCATTTTCTATGATTTAGTAGTGTTGGCAAGTGATATGAATATATCCCAATTTGGCAGCTGGCATCATCCTGACACTTTTTTATTCCTTTATCATTAATTTGTGAATGAATTATATCTATGGATATGGATCAAAGAATTGTAGAGTATTATACAGACTGAATTAAGATTGTTAGGGCATCTTTAGATAACTAGTCTCTTCTGTACCCGAAAGATACCTTATTTTATGCTTTGCCAGCACTGTTCTGCTGCCATCAATATGTGGACATAGGAAAAAACAGTGGTAACAAAAATGGGTTGAAGGAATTAAATACAATTGTCTTATGACCTTATCAAGTGTCCTTCTCGTCTGACTCATGACATGATTCAACGTTCTTGACTAATGGATCTTCTTGGATCCACAGCTCTTTATATACCAGAACTCTGTACCGGACCAACAACATTGTCTCAATCTTTTAATAGGTTGTTTTGTTAGCTTGTCAGAAAAATGTGTGTGTTTTTACTAGAATAACTCATGACGTTGATGATTCTTCTTTTTTGTTTGTACTGTGTTCACTTGTTTGTTTATTTGTTTTGTTGTTTTTTGTTATTGCTTTCTTGTTGTTATTTTTTCCTTTCATGCTAACTGAAATTTTCTACCCACTCTAGGGTCCTCCGGGAGGTGGAGGGCCACCAGGAACACCCATCATGCCTAGTCCAGCAGGTATTGAAATATACTCAGAAAAAAATAAAAACAAGTTGTTAAGGGTTTTAGAAAGTACACAAATTCATTTTTTCATATTTTTCTATGCTATTAATGCAGACAAGTGGATAGATCCAATTTATGTACATTTTTCAGCAAGGAGCAGCTAATGAAAAGGTATTAGTTTTGTACTTTCTGTATCAGTTTTTCTTAATGCTCTTTCTTTCCCTCCCTGCTATGTTGCAGAGATAGAAAGCATTGTACCGTATCTCTACAGTTCAAAGCAATTCACATTTCTGGCTCCTGACCCCGTTTTTTCTTGCATCATTTTAGCTATAGCAAGGAAAAAGAAAAAGAAAAGAAGACAGAATATGTATTTGTTTCTGCTCATATCCTTTAGGGCAAGTCCAGTTTGGAAATCAGGCAATTTCTGAATCCTGTGCAAGTTTCCCTGTAGTAACCTGTGGGTAGACCTGATCAGTGTATGGCTCTTGAGCTCCGTATGAACCGCAAGCATCATTGCATTCTCTGGCTACCTCATCTGGCTGACAGCAGGGGAGTGCTGGACAGCGGCTCTGCTCCATCCTGCAATGGAGGAGTAAAGCCCCAGAGGGACAATTGCCATGTCCTATTTGTGACCTGTTCCTAGCACTTCACTCCTGCATTGTTTCCCCCAGCTGCATGATCTGTATCTTGAAATTCTGGCCGCAGGGAAAACTTGGCCATCCAGAAGGTTGGCCACCATTCCTATTCAAGTTTAAAGAATCAAGGAGAAGGATGCGAGCATTCAAGGCTGCCAACTAGGTTCTCAGGGCTCCGAGTTGGTCAGCTAGATGCCAGTATCTCCCTCCATCAGTGTTGTGCAACATATCTGACACAAGGGAGAAACTGCAAGATTGGGAGAATGCTCTTCTCCCTTGAATAGCATTAGAAATGTGTTGGAAAGAAACTAGTTACATCTTTGGTAACCCAATATTCATTAGCTATTTGGGCTCCTTTTAGCAAACATCTGTGTCTGTAAGATGTGTTTAGCAAACATCTGTGTGTAAGAGGTGTTTGGCAAACATCTGTGTCTTTCACCAGCTAAAAGGGGCCATCTCACCTCATTTCACCTGATGCTCTAAGTCCTCAGTCCTACATGTTCTTGCTGTTATTTACAGCACAAGAGGGTAGGGGAAGTTTTCTAACTTCCTATGAAAACTTCCTGCACCACTATAAAATCTTCTATACCACTATAAAATCTTCTATACCACTATAAAACCTTCATTATATACAATTCCAGAGCTTTAAAAAAATGCAATTTGAGATAAAGAGTAGGACTTCCTTGTTCATATAATTAGTGAAGAAGATAATTAATGTGAGCTGGTAGATAAAAACTAAAATCTCTTTTAACATAGAAACAAACCAACAGAGGGCCTGCACTTTTAGAAAGAATGAGCATTATGGTTATGACATGAGTAAGTTGTCTGTGTGCACTCTGAATAAAGTCTCTGTTAAGGAATTGTTTCCATTTTCAATTGAAGAAACTCTACGGTGTTTTAAGGCTCCTCTTTTCCAAAGTATAAAAACACTTACACGTTGGCAACCTGGGAATTTCGCAAAGGTATTCATTCACCTCTGAGAAAAAAAAAAATCCAGTTCTGAATGTTCCCATGGTCCAATCGAACCATATATATTTTTTACAAAATCCAATAGAGCACAGGGATACATTTCTCTCTGGAGAGCCAAGGTGTTTTTTTCAAAGGGATCTGGTAGTCAAAGCACTTGTTCTCAACCTCCATGAACATTATAAATAACTTTTTACATGCTAATTTTACTTTTTGTAATTTTAGGTAAGAAAACTTTTGGATTCCCTCTTCTTCAAGAAGTATATTTGAATATTCTAGTGATGCATATTTCATAGAATTTTCATAAAATTTTCATAGAATGCTCAAGGTTGGATGGGACCTCTAGAGATCATCTAGTCCAACCCCCCTGCATACGCAGGGTCACCTAAAGCACGTGGCACAGGACTGCATCCAAGCGGGTTTTGAAGATCTCCAGGGAAGGAGACTCCACAACCTCTCTGGGCAGCCTGTTCCAGTGCTCTGTCACCCTCACTGTTAAAAAAT